AAGGAGGGAGGGAGGGAGGGACGGGAGGGGGTCCGGGCAGCCCCGGTGGGGGGGAAGCCGGGACCCCGACCGAGCTCGTGGGGCCTGGGTGCTGTTGGTTTGTGTGTTCCGAACGTGCCCGCTTTCTCAAGCGTGGGACGAATAGGAAAAAAAGCGAAACAAACCCGCCCGGGGTCGATACAGGCAAGTTGGAAGCGCTCACGTGTATAAACGTGTGTGTGTGGTGTTAAACAGGGGCCTAACGTGGTGACCCCCATCACACACGTGTGCAGAGGGAAGAGCTTTCAGGTGGCTCTGTGGTATCTCCTGAGTGTTTAGGGAGGCTTCACACAAACGCTGTTTTTCAGCGTAAACTTCGCTTTAAATTCCTGAAAATCCGAGCGGCTGCTTGAGGCAGTTGTTTTATTTTCCTTTGCGAGTAACTATGTCTCGGCCACTCTGAAATGAAAGAGCCAGCTGAAGTTATGGTGGGCCTGATGTTGCCTGCAGGTCAGTAGCTGCCTGTGGGTGGTGTGAAGTGTGAAATGAAAAAAAATAACTCTCTATGCAATTTCGGAGTGATATGACTGTTTTCAATAGAGGTACTAATTTAAATGAGATCTTGAAATTCTCCCTGCTGGTATTTGTGATAACCATATCCCTTAGGGAGAGCCTCTGTCTCATTTTCCTTTTTTTTTTTTAAGAAGGAATCTACTCCTAATCGGGAGAGTGGAGTAAGAAGGCAAATACAGCACCGTTGTACCTGGAATTTTGTACATTTTCTCACACTTTGATAACTGTAGTTAGAAAATGTGTTGGATCAGCTATTTTGAGAATAAAAAAAAGAAAGAGGCTTGATAGAATTTGCTTTTGTTTATATACTTTTTTTAGTGTTCTTTGAAACATCCTAGGACAATTAAAGTTCTTACTGTGACTGTATCCATACCAGTTGATGTAGATTGTTTTATTTTAAGTTAGGAGATCTAAAACAAAACGAGGTTAGCTGAGAGAATCCAAGAAGCTTAGAAGGATTGACAATAAGGTAGTGTGGATTCAAAGTCATTTTTCTTACTAAATAGAAAGGATGGAGTTGCACAAGCAGAAGTCACCAAAGGACCAAACTGCAGCATGCTGCTTTTCCCCAGGAAACATACTAACTAGTTGTCTGTGACTTAGTAGGTATTTCCCAGTTCACTGGGAAACACTGCCTCATGTGCTCCAAGGCAGTTCAAAGCTGTTTCAGATTTTCACTTTGACTTCTAAGAAGAGTAAAGTTTGAAATAGACATATTTGATCTCTAGCTGTTCTGGTGAAGTGATTTACAAAGATTCTATTTGTCGATTTATTTGCTTCCTCATTTCAGTATCTTGCAAGTAGGAAGTGTGGCCAGTATGTTGACATTAGAATTCTAGCATCTGATTTGCAGAAAGCCTACAGGTGAGCAAAGATGAGTATTATAATGTTCTATGTTCAAAAAATTGAATGTATTATTTTGTTATTTTGACTTTTTCCATTTTTTATTACAATTTTAATTTTCTTCATGTTAACTAATTACCAGTTGTTGAGGTTGATTGAAACATTAAGGCCGTTGCAACTCCAGTGTTTTACTCTGCCAGTATGTCTAGTAACTTATATTTTATTAATGTATTGGCGTTGCAAGATCTAGTTGTGGTTTGTGGGGTTTTTTGAGGGGATGTTGTGTTTTTTTAAAAAGTTAAACAGCTACAGATGCATTACAGCACCTTGGTCCTAACCCCATTGAGTTTAAAATCAGGGAAGGTAGCACTTCAGTGCAGGCAGATGGGGGAGCTGCATGATTCAGCAAGACACTGACTTATGCTCAGTTGCTCAGCAGGACAGTCAGTCTTGCTAAATTATTTTTAGGCTATTAGGCTTTTCTGGGTGGGGAGAAATGTTGCTTTTCAGCAGATCATTGGTGGGTGTGAGTTAATTAATGTGAAGTATATTCATTTATGTTTGCACAGTCTATTTATTTGTGCCCTGTTAGAGAAAGGGAGCCAAACCTCTTGCTTAGGATGCTTACAGGTCTGGGGTTTTTGTTTTGTTTTTCCTCTGTCGGCTACTCTGTTAAAACAAATAAATAAAATATAACCTCAGTAAGTGAAGGCAGAAGGCTGATGATTTTTGTTTGCACTTAAGGTTATTAATTGAATCAGATATTCTAATATTGACCATTATTTATTATCACAGTTATTCTTTTCTGGACTGCGCTTTATAGACTATAGTCCTATGCCTGTATGTTGTTGGTTGAATTGACATTTTAAAAATTGTTAGTGTTGTTAAATAAAATCCAGTGTGTCCGTGTGTACCTTGCTGCTTCTCTATATCTGTCACTAAAGAAGGCCTCAGTAATTTTTACTAACCATCCCACTAGGAACTACTATAGTTTAGTGGTCTGGTTTCATCCTAGTGTTTGAGCTGTTCCAGGCTTAAGAAAAAATAGTCGTGTTTTCACATAGTCGGGTTTTAATAAGAACTTGTGTAGAAGATTTGGCATCAACTTATGATGTATTTTTTTCTGCTGTGAATGACAATATGTTGCGGGGAGAAAGCAGTTGGTGTAACCTCTTTATTTTGTTTTGGTGTTTCTTTTTTCAGTGCAGAATATGGACGAAGAAAAAGGAATGCTTTTAGAATACAAGTTGAAAAAGGTAGTTCTGTTAGTATTATGTCCAAGATGCCAAAATCTTTGATTATGCTTTGACTGTTTTCTCAAGATGTTTCAACTTTTTCAGTGTTTGGAATAATCAGTAATGAAAAAGAACATGAAGATTTAGCTTTAGAAGCTGAACATGTGTCAAAAAGAGCAAGACAAGATAAAAATGAGTAAGAAGATTTATATTTTTTTTCCATTAGATTACTTAAATAGTATTAACATTTCTCTAAAGTTTTCCGTCTTCATATTATTACATTTTTGTAGTTTCAGGGTTACATAGATTCTTAATTTCCCATAGGCTTGTCTTCTGAAGTTACCTGAAGATAATGGAAGCATTTTTTTCTCTGAGGACAAGTAGATACTAGAGCTAATACTGATTTCTCTGCTATGGGACATCTACAGCCCTGAACTAGTGGATATCCTTGGGGCTTCCTTGATAGTTTTCCACATAAGGAATCCAGCCCTTATGTCATTCAGTTTATTTGCTTTCTTAATCTTCCTTGGGTGTGAGAGATACTACCTAAATCTAAGAGACAAAGACTACAAGACTACTATTCAGAGTAAATCACTGCTGGATATGAGACAGGAATTAAGATTTCCTAATTCCTAACCCTGTGCTTAGTCTCATGGACCATTCTGGTTTCTCTAACTTGTGGTGGATGTTAAAGGTCAAATGGTAAATTACGACATTGCAATCAGAAGGAGGACTACTCTAGTGCAGCAGTGATTTGCTACCACTTCTCTTGTGCCAGCATTGCTGATTATGTGGTCTCTTGATTAACTAGATCAGGTTGATCCTACATCAGTTTTTTAGGACTGTCTTTCAACCCTGTTGGCAGGTTTATCCAGCTCATCATAGACTTGAAAAGGACACATGTTTTAAATCCTCATAGCAGTACATTTAGAGGAAGCTAGTCAGAAGTTTTTCTCCAGTGTTAGGCTACATGTTTTCATTGTGGGAAGCCATGTTGTGGAAATTGTATTTGTTCTGTCTTGTGGGTGTATCACTTGCAGTTCTGCTCTGATACATTAATAGCTTTTTTCTTCCTTCCATGTAAAGAACTTCAGGAAGTGCCACAGATGACTCTGATTATGATGATCATGCAGAAGACCTAGTAAGTTGTATTTTATTGTGATTGTTTTGTTTGCAAAAAGTGAGATTCTGTGTTGGGAGATTGCAATGCACTTGGACAGTCTAAAAGGGAAGAGGAAGATGAGGTATAGTCACTGCTGGCAATTCCAACTGAGAATCTGTAGAGCTAAAAAGAGCCTATTTTCTGAAGAAAACAGAAGATTCTGTGGTGGGGAATCACTTAAGGGAAGCACACTGGTGGCCCAAAAGACTTGGCTATCAAGTAAATGAAATTATTAAAGGAACTGACGTATCTGGCTATTACTAAAAGGTGACTGTCAGTTAACAGGGGTCATTTCAGGGTAAACTGAAAAGGCTGTTGCCTCTTCAAGCAGCAGATGTAGTTTTGTATGCAGTCATTTGATTTGCAGTGGAATGGGTTGGAAGATGCATGTTTACTTTATCCAGCAGAGAATAATGTTAAATGACGTTTATGAAATAGTTTTTATTGGCTTCTTAATATAAATAATCCAAGTTATAACCTTTCTTTTAAAATACATAAATCTGCAGTCTACAAATCACATGAACAGTTCCCTGCTGAGCTTATACAAGAAAGGAAATCCCGATTCTCTTCCAACCACTCCAAAAAATGAAGCAATGGAAACGCCCCCTCCTGTGCAAGCAACACCTCAAACAAGCACCATCTTACCAGGAACGCGAGTAGAAACACGCATCTCTGAAGGGGGCTGGTTCATTGATAAAACTCCATGTGGAAAAGACTTTTTCACTGACCTTTCAGAGGATGGAGAAAGAAATGAAAATAAAGTGATTTCTGAGGTATTGTGTTTTACATGCCCAATGTGATTTAAATAGCAAGAATGTGTAATTTCCTGTGTAATTTGACAGGCTTCTGAAAGGTGACACTAAGACCAAAAGGACTGTCTGGGTGGATTTAAAAAATATTTTTATTGCAAACATTGAGTGCTGTAGTAGTGAATGTTTTAAATAGAAAGGAAAGACTGGCTTAAGCCCAGCAGAGTACTTGTTTTTAGGTTGGTTTCAGAAGATGAAAGGGCTTACCTCATTGTTTTGCCATGTCAGAAAGAAGTTTTGAACCCTTTGGCCCTTTTCAAGGATGTTTGTGTGGGAGGTAAAAGGTCAGAAAATTATTAAATGCCTCCACATTTTTTGAGGCAAATGTAGTGCTCAGTATTAAGGAAACACAGATTAGTTCCTGTACTGAGAAAAAGGTAAGTGGAACTTACTTGTTATTTATTCCCTTTGCCAGTGACCAACCTAACTGGTCAGGAAGCATGTGGCTTGCTGTAGCCGTAGCATGTGGTCTCCCTTAGCCAGTGGTTAAGCCTTAGTGAGCCTAGGGAAAGCTGAAGTTTTTTTGATGAACAAGAGTTGGAGAAGTTGAAAGGAAATGGCATTGATTTATAAAGCAGTTAAAAATAGGTCCTGCTCCCTGTCCAGACATATTGCTGCTTACTTAGTGATTCCTTCCTTTCCCTCCAGTGTTTTTCTCTCTTATCTAGAAAAACCAACTGTTTAGCTGGGAAAGCTTTCCATTTATATATGGAGGTAACATTTTTGTTGTTTGGCTGACCAGATGTTTTGGCAGGATGCTCTTTTTTATGTCAAGAAAGAACTACATTTACATCTACCTTTTTGATTACAGAAATCAAATGGGGTAATTACACCCTTTTTTAAAAAAAGGTAAATCCTAAATTAAAAAAGGATTTTTTAACAAAAATAAGGGGTTAAATTCCTTCCTTGCTTGATTTTATTCATATGATATATATAAGTTAAGCATCATAGACACACACTTGGTTCTTTTAAGTGTTTGCAGATATTCGCTGACTTGGAAGGTTTTGTGTATATAATTCTGGTTTTATGTCCTAGAAATCAACAGAAATTTCTGTCTTGGAGAGTGAAAGAAAGAAGACAAAGGGTAAGAGAGCAAAAAGAAAAAAAGAAGAATTTCCAAATGTAGATGAAGAAATTAATTCCATCTTACTTAAAGAGAAAGGTGAGAAGGTATTTTTGGTATGCTGTTCCAAATAAAGAGATGGTATTTGACCACAGAATCTGTTTCACTTCAGAAAACACTCTTCTTGTCTTCAAGCATTTTGTTAAGATGTTTAACCTTAATGTTGTACAGAAAAAATATTCCAGTCATATATCTACCAAAAAGTACTACTACTCTTTGTACTTCGTTAATTGTTTAGGATGAGTACTTTCTTATTTGGAGTTAGCAGCTATTACGCCATGTCTAAATTTGTATGACTTTTCCTTCTTAACAGTTAGAAGTAAGCAACCAGATCTTTACCACCCTTCAGTGAAGTTCAAAGATATAGGAGGCAATGATGAAACTTTAAAGGTCAGTTAAAATTTTATTGATGGGGTGCAGAATGTATGGAATAAAATGTCACATGAAAAATGAAAAGAAAAAAGCTGGCATAATTCATCTGCAGTACTGAGAATAGCTGCTCATACCAACAGCAATGCAGTTTGTTTTTTTCCTTTGATTAATCGTTTTAAAAGCAGTCACTGAAATTACATGAATAATCAGAACTTTCTTTATTTTGGCCTGTCTATAATATTAGCAATCTATAATACTAATTTCTTCAGTTTAAATTGAGGTCCGTCTTGTCCTTAACAGGAAATCTGCAAGATGCTCATTCATGTCCGTCATCCAGAAGTCTATAACCACTTAGGTGTGGTTCCACCTCGTGGTTTTCTTTTACATGGACCACCAGGATGTGGAAAGACACTACTTGCACAGGCAATTGCTGGGGTGAGATGGCTTTACATTTAGTTTCTTCTTCTTCTGAATTATATCTAGAGAGAAACATGACACAAGTGAAAAATCTTCAGAGATGAAGTAAATTTAATAACTACTTCTTAAATATTTTTTCTTAAATAAGAGATTCTCAGTAGTGCTATTTAAGGCAAATTATATCCTCCAAGCCTGCAGTAGTGACTCTGGTGGCTGTAATTTTTATAAATTAGGATTGTTTTTTCTTACATGTAGTTGCAAGAGTTTGAAATAGGTTGCACCTACAGGTAGCACTACTGTGCTACAGTCTATCAAAGATACAATTGCATTTAATTATTTTTAATAGCAGAAAACCTTGAGTGTGAGCTTATTGTACAGTCCTGCTCAGATCCTTCCAGAGCAAGATCTCTTCCACACTGCTAAGCAATACTTTGTTACAGGTGGGAATAGACAATTTTCTCAAGAAGAGAGCCCAAGCATGAACTGAACTGTATGTGTTGAGAAGGATTGAGTTGGGGACCAAGGTGCAAAGCTGTTTGATAGTCCAGTCATTCTCCAACTGAATTAGAGAAACCTGTTTGTTTTTTTTAAATCCATTTCTGTCTACTCGGTCAAATGTCTCAGATGCATTTTAAGTTGGAGAATGCTACTAACCTTTTTTTAAAAGCTCTTTATGTAATCAAGACTAAATCTTAATCTTTGGGTGTAAAAGGTGTCTTACTGGAAAATGTTTATCCTCTAGGACAGCAAACATTTCTAACCTCTGAATGCATCATGCAATGTTCCTTGTCTCTTTCAGGAGCTTGAGCTCCCAATGCTAAAGGTGGCAGCCACAGAGATGGTGTCTGGAGTGTCAGGGGAATCTGAGCAGAAACTGAGAGAACTGTTTGAGCAGGCTGTGGTGAGATGCCCATGGGAAATAACATTGTGAATTGCTTGTGCTTTTCTTTGTTAAGATTCATACTTTGTTGCAGAGGTTTGAATTTGAGTGAATATTAGTGAGTGAATCCTGATACTCTTCTGTTCCAAAATCTTGACAAAAGATACTTCATCATAGCAATGCAAAGGAAGCAACAAATTGTTTACCTATTTGGAGCTGCTTGTCTTGATATATAAAAACAAAAAATACGTAAGAGCAGTTTTCTGTGGGTTTTTGGTACAAAGATTTTTGCTGCTTTTGTATAGCATGGAATTTCAGTGAATGTAAGAGGCTTAAGACTTTGGGTGTTTTGGTATAAAGAAATTTGGGACAAATAGCATATGAGCAGGAGTCAGGGCACAGGTGGAAGTTTTATTTTTTTGGTGCAACTTCCAGATTTACTAAGAAGCAAAGAGAACAAGACAGGTTGAGATACCTTTTAATTTAATCAAATGCAGATTATTTTTTTCTTTTTTTAGGATGTGGCTAATGTTTTATTTAATTAGGACAATTTTCTATTCCTGACCTCTGAGAATGTTCTGGTTTTCCAACTTCATTCCATTTTCCTACTCTCCCCCACAACTGTATGTAGGTGGATAGAATACATTCCTGTTAAACAGAATGCTAAACAGGGCAAAAATATTGATTGTGAAGCTGTTAGATTGTTATGTTTCCAGTTCATACTGCATTTTAATTTTTAGAGAGGCTTGTTAAGGTGTTGTTCATAATAAAATTAAATAAATGATCAGATTTTTTTTAGAAATTACTTACCTTTTGTATGTATGGTGATGGACGGGAGGTTGCTATAAACATAATTTTTAAAGAAATTAAATATATTGCATAGAGCATGTTTAAAAATAAAATCTGTTGCCTTTCTTATACTCTCTCCCATTCACATAAGTAGGTAGTTGTTGTACCAATTCTTGTGCAGGGAAAAAAGACATGGTTTTATCATACATATACTGTAGAATGTTTATGGCTTAGTTGCATTCTTTTCCTCTAAAAAATTAAATGACAACTAGATGGCGCAGTTGCTGCCTTGTAACAGTGCATGGTGTTAAAAGACTTTAAAAATGTGAGTCTGCTATTTTTTTTGAAGACTATTCTACTGTCTTCTTTAAGTATTCCTTTGTACCACTAAAGCCTTTTGAGAATATTAATAATCTTATGTCAGTTAAGCATTATTATTTTCTATTAATTACAGTAGTTATTATCCTATATTAGTGTTAGCTTTTTTATGAACATGAAGTACATGGAATTCTAGAACACTTGTAGGAGTTGCTCGTTTTTCTCTTGGAATGCAGTCAGGCTGTGTAGCAATCTTGAAGTTGGCAGATAATTTTTCATTACTACCTGTGGCTCCTTTTGTTTCATTGCTTGTGGCAGTAAAACTAGCTCTTGAAATTCCACAGCTGTAATATTACTAACAAAACGAAACAAAATCAGACCATTTTTGTCTGATTCTTTTGGGTTTGTTGTTTTTTGGTTGTTTTTTTTTTTAATTAAGCAATGGAATATTTATGGAAAACATAAAGCAACGTAGATATATGTTTAAATTTTAAACAATATAGAGAGATATTTTGAATCTCATGCTTTAATTATTTCATAATCTCAGCACAGTTTCATAGTCTGGTGGCTCTCCAGGTAGTCAGTAAGAACAACAAAATTGTTCTGGGACAGGATGATTGTGCAGCAGACTTAGGGTAATAATTATAGAACAGAAAAGCTGAAAAAAATTATTCTTCTTGTGATATGCTATGTCTATGTACTTTTGTAGTTATTAATATTTCTTGTTCCTAGTCTTGTGCCCCATGTGTCCTTTTCATTGATGAGATTGATGCAATCACCCCGAAAAGAGAAGTTGCATCGAAGGACATGGAGCGGAGAATTGTGGCTCAGTTCCTAACTTGTATGGATGGTTAGTTTCAGGAACAACTGTACTAAGCTGAACTTTCTAATTGTCAGGCTCACTCTCTCCTTTCCTTCAGTAATGGCTCATGGTTACGTTAGTGGAGATAGCGGTACCAATTTTTCCTATTTTGGCATAGTTTACCTGGAGGCTCTTGGGAATATTCTCATAAATTTGAGGGTGTGTTATTGCATTATTTTTGCAGTGGTCTGTACACCGTTATATAAGCCTGTCTATTGTTTAAGCAGATATAAGGGTAATATGTGTCCAATGTAATTTCAAATGCTTATTTCTTCTTGATTGTGCAAAAAGTAAATTCTAGGTAGTAGAAATAAGGATGAACAGCAGTTTAATACGACTGTTGGTTAGTTTCTCTGCTGTTCTTAGTATTACTGCGTGCTGCAGAAGGAGTCACAGATACCAGAACAAAGTTGAGATAGTCAGTATGATGACTAACTTCCTTCCTTCCTTCCTTCCTTCAGACTTGAATAACGTGGCTGCCACTACCCAGGTTCTTGTTATTGGAGCAACTAACAGGCCTGACTCTCTGGACCCTGCTCTGAGGCGAGCTGGGAGGTTTGATCGAGAAATTTGTGTTGGGATCCCAGATGAAGCAGCAAGAGAAAAGTATGTGTTATAAAGCATAAGGTTCTTTTTGAATAATAAATAAGGAAATAATGTGGAAATTAACAGTACTTTCCCTTAATGTGTATATTGTGTGTTTAGTCTTACCTGTGCCTGTACACACCTACATAGGAGCACAAACTGAAAAGTGCAGTAGGCATTAAGTGTGCATCTACTCTTTGTTGTGGAAGCTGTCTGCATTTGCAGTGGTTTTCTTTCTGGTGTGCAAATCTAGTTTTAGCATTGTGATAATGAGTTTTCAAGTGCCTTAACAGTATAAATGATGGCATTAAATATATCTTTTCTGTTGTTCAGGAATTTGACATTCTGTGTTTTGTACTCCCTATGCAACTATTAAATTAGGAACAAATTAAGCATAGCCCATTTGTTAGTCCTCTCAAACACATACATTAAGCAACAGGCCGAGATTCTTCATTCGGTTCCTCGAGGAATTATACCACTCCAGGCATTAAGCTGAGCTGCAGTCATCCTGTTTTGGATGTAACTGTAACTGGCCCTTTTTACTCCAAAGATCTGTAACCATCAGACTATATTAAACAAAACAAACTAAAACCAAACAAGCCTGACAAACAAACAAAAAATCCCCCACTAAAAAAAAACACAAAAAAATGAACAAAACACAACGACAACAACACATTTTTCGGTATTTTATTTTATTTTTATTTTTTTTTAATTAAAAAGGAGCTGCTGCTCATTTTCAGAACAGCAGAAAACACAGGATGGGAAGTATGAAAACAGCTGTGGCTTATCCTGTTAGAGGAAGGAAAGGTTAAAGGATAAGTTCCTTCAAGCTCAACTAATCTTATTCCTAGGTTGCAAAGGCAAACTATTCTGCCTGCAGTATTGCTCACTTTGCCTTGTTCGCACTACTGACCATTTTTTCCCCTCTTTCCCCTTGCCCATCATCTGGCCATCCCTCCACTTTTTTTTTTTCTTCCTCTAGATCTACAGCCCTATAATAATTATGTTTCTCTTGGTTGTTGGGAAACACATGTGATTAGAGGTAGAACTAAAGAGTTGACTGATGAGTGTTCTGATCCTATGATATTTCTTAGGTTCATATTAAAAATACAGTATTTCCAGAAATAGCACTGTTTCAAAGGATAGGAATTGCAAGTGGGAAAGCCACCATAGTGTGTAGAGATTGTTCACAAGTTCAAGTGTAGTCACATTCATTCACATTATTGTTTTGTGCAATTGTTTATATGTATGTGTGTTCCTGGAGATAGAGGCTTACAGGAACTGCTGGTTTTATTTCCATTTTGAAATCATCCACTCCTGCCCTTCTCCCCTCTCCTGTCCTGTTTTGTTTTATTTTGGGGTGGGGTTTGTTGGGGAATTTGTTCCTCTATTTTTTAAATAAAAGGGTCAAATAGAAACAGAAGTCCTTACAGGATGCTGATTTACCATGTAGTAACTCAGGCTTGCTGAAGGCATGATTTGACCTGCTTAGCTGTGGTTCAGGGGTGGAGCAGTACAAGCAGGTGTACCTGAAGATCTTGCTTTGCTTGCAGCATTTTCATGTGCATGTATGAAGCACATGAAGGAAACTATTATATACAGAACAAAATTCAGAATGACCTATTTTTACACTTTGAGTCACTTGATTAAGTACAGATGTTGCCTGGCAGGTTGAAAAATTCTTGAGAACCAAGCTAGTACCATCTAAATCTAAATGAGAGGTGACAGAATGTGATAGTGGGGGAGGCAAACAGCTGAAATGTATTATAATTCAGAGTTTTGTATAGTTTAAGAACTCATTCCTTTAATAACTTTTCTGTAGTTGCATTACTTGATCTGGAAATAATTTTAAATAATTTTCATTGGAACTAGAAAACATATTAATGATCTTCATTTCTTTGGCTTGTGCTGCCTTTTAAAAATATTTTCCCAATGATGTGTGTGATGTTTTGCTGTTGATTTGATCCTTACGCTCAGAGTTCTTTAGTGCCAGTGTTTGGGCGGTGACATTGGCTTTAGTATTTTTTTATTTTTTGTACTATTTGTGTAGTTTTCAGTTGTCCTTGGCTTAGAGAAGAACAGCAGGAAATCTTGGTGGGCCTTGAAATGGGTTTTTAAAGCTTCAGCCTTGATATGGAGTGAAAAAACTCCCATTAAACAAAAAGCATGAAGCATAGCACCTCACTGTCGGTTTCATGGAGCTGTTTTTTATTTGTGGTGGAACTGCATAGGTAGGTATAATTTTAGCTTTTGAGTTGAGAATGAGGTTACACATGATGTGTACACATAAGATGTGTGTTGCCTTTTGGAAATTTTAGTGGAGATGCAAGAGAGATTGGCAGTTATGTTCCACTGACAGTGGCAGGAGAAAGATACTGAAGATTAAAAGACAGAACTTATGCAGTCAGATTTCATTTCCTCCTTGCAGAATAGTTTGTTATGGATTTTCTTCAATAAAAAGATAGAAGTAGGATAGAACAGACAATGTGAACTAAGGTTTTAGGAATACAAGGTGAAGTATCTCAATGGATAACTTTGTAGGCTCACTCTGAGATCTACTTTATCAGTTTTGAAGTGTAAACTAAGTTTTGAGAATCCATAATGTTTAGATTCACCAAAACTAGTTTTTACCCACTGATTTACATTGCCTGGTTGATGCTATTGGTTTTTATTTAAGAACTTAATGGAAATACATAGCATAGTTTTGTGGGTTTCAGTGTTGGTTACTTCTTAGATGAGTGAAACCTCTTTGCATTGTACTACTTCAGTTCACGTGGACTGAAAGAGACCTTAAATCAATGCTGTTTATTTTCATATCAACATTTTAAAAGTTTATATTTATTTTCTTGTTTTTTATCTCCCTACCTGATTAGAATTCTTCAGACTTTGTGTCGAAAACTTAAGCTCCCAGAGTCCTTTGAGTTTCATCATTTAGCACGGCTGACTCCAGGTTATGTAGGTGCTGATCTAATGGCACTTTGTCGTGAGGCAGCTATGTGCACAATGAACAGGGTCCTGATAAAAGCTGAGAAGCAGAAAAGGACACATACACATGCTGGAGGAAACACAGCTGAAGACATGGGAGTAGGAGCAGACATCCTGGTGGAAGAGGGTGCAAAAGACCTAGAACTTCCTTCTAAGGTATTTATTCCTTGAAGCATGTACCTCTGATAATCTTAAGAATTGACCAATGTTATAGTTCTGAAAGTTGTTGCTCATAAATCCTTGAACATCTATGACTAATGTAATATTAAATTTATAATTAAAAATAGCAGCTCTGAGGGCAGAAGTTTAACTCCTAACAACCCAAATAATGGCTCTGAATAAGTGGCTCCCAAAACTTGCACATTGTACAAATTGTATTAATGTTTTATACAAGGTGTGGTTTTTTTGCTTGGGTTTTTCATTGGTTTTGTGTTGTGTTGTTTTGTTTTGTAGCAGACCAGAGGATAAAATAGTGGCTATAGGTCTCTTCTAAAGTGTATCAACTGTCAGAGAACTGTAAGAATATCAGACTTGCACTGAGTTCTTACCAAGCTATTCGCAGTGCCCTCAGTGAAATATTTATTATCATAGAAATCGTATCACAGAAAGGTTAGGGTTGGAAGGAACCTTAAAGATCATCTAGATCCAAGCCCCCTGCGTGGGCAAGGACACCTCCTGCTCAGTAAGGTTGCTTACAGCCCCATCCAACCTGGCCTTGAACACTGCCAGGGATGGGGCTTCCATTACCTCCCTGGGCAACTTGTTCCTGTGCTTTACTACCCTCATAGCAAAGAATTTCCTCCTAATATCAATTTTCCTCCTAAATCTCCCCTCTTCAAGTTTTAAATCATTGCCCCTTGTCCTCTTGCTACATGCCCACGCAAAAAGTCCTGCCTCAGCTTTCTTGCAGGCCTCCTTCAGGTATTGGAAAGCTGCATATTATGGTGCCTGGGCTCTTCCTTGACCTGGCATAGTTACAGTTAGCCAAAGTCTAGAAGTATTTATGCAGTCCACTTTTTCCCTAAGTAATGTGATTACTTGGGGTAAATCACATGTGATGTTTACTACCTATAACAAGTTTGAGGAAGAGCTATCTATCCAGTAGCAAAATTTAGTTAGGAACGCATCTCAAACTGCAGAGAAGCTGTTAATGTGAGGTGCAGCTGGAACTCAGTTGCAGGAAAGAGCATTTCCAGTGCCAGAATTATTCTGTGGCCCAAATCACGTACTGTGGTCAATGAACCAGAATATCTATACATAGAAATTCTTGGTCCTACTTCTCAAAATTTGAAGCATATGTGTGTTTTTGTTATGTAAAGATTTGTCTGGAGAAGTAAAACAAAGTGGTTTTAAATCCTCTGATTTTAGAAGGACTGTCAAAGAAAACGGTTATTGTAATCAACAAAAATCAGTGTAAAAAGCTGCAGTGAGCCTTTGTATTGAAGTAACATAATCATACTGCCTGCCTCCCAGTGTTTCCTGGGGCCTGATGTAGCCAAAAGAAATGGAGGAGGGGCAGGTAGTTGCAGCTTTTAGCAACATTGCTGTGATCAAAGGCGTTATTGAGAATGAGGAAGTCTAATCCTAACAGAATCATGTTTTGATAGCTGGCAGGAGGTTGACATAGTCTAATACAGGGCATTGTCATTAAAACCATTACATTGTGTTTATAATGGCAAAATAAACATACAAAATCTTTAAAAATCATTCACACAATTCAAGTAAACAAACCCAGTGGTCTGTTTCACAGTTTCTTTTAATGGTTCTGTTGAGAAGACAAGGGAAGCCTTAAAAGGAGTATAAGGCACTATAAACACTTCTGTTTCTTTGCAATCAGTTGTAAGGCTATTTTAGTTGCAACAAGTAGGAAGTGACACTTCCCCTATATACTGCAGTAGTAAAAATGTGGAAACTTCACAGAATTTTTACTTTTTTTTTTTTCTTCCCTCTATTTTATGATGAAAATCTGGTTTAGTTTTCCTTGTGGTGCAGTATAAATTTCCTTTGATACTGCCTTTCTCTGTTAGAACTAGGATTTATTTATGTTATGAAGGTATAAAGTTATTTGATTAAGTGCTTTCTCAAGTCGTTTCCCCAATAAGGAATAGACTGGGGAAACAGGAGTGTATTTGCCTGGGGCACTGTGGTTTGCAAGGTGGGACAGTGCTGAAAAACATTACTCTGTATCTCTATTCTGTTTGCCCAAACATTATCAGGATCTGGTTACAAAACCAGGCTTAATCAGCATGGGGAAAAGGAGATTGTGATGTGAAATCAGATTGTAATAAATAAAAATATATATTCTAAAAGTGTGTGTTGAGAGTTTTAAAGGTTTATAAGTAACTGAATGTTAAAACAAATTTATGAAATTGTGCTGTTGAGCAGAGCTGTTCACTTTCTCCTGAAAGCAGTTTCTTATTAAAAACAGAATTAGTGCACATAATTAATACACATTTTGGAAATTTCAGTATGGAAAGAACTTTCTCCTAATCGGTGTAGGAGAAGCAGTAGGAAGAATTTAAAGACAAAATGCATGTGCTGGTTCTGTTGGTGTAGTATCTAAATCAAGATTGTAGTCTGTTAGCTCAGGGCTTTCCTGCAACATTTTTATAATTAATGTTACTTTTTTATTTTACATACTTCATGTGTATTATAAATAATAATTTGTTTCTGAGTAATTAATATTACAGCTGAAGAAAGTATTGCTTTAAAAAAACCCTTAAAAATGGCTCTTAAAATCGAATCCAGTGCGTAATCTTTTTCTCTCCCTTTTTGTGTACCCTAAGGATGAATTGCAGAGACTTCTGGATTTGCTGAAGAAACAAGACCCCTTGCCTGAGGAGCAGCTGCAGAAGCTGTGCATTGAGATGAATGATTTTATTGTTGCACTGCCATCAGTGCAACCCTCTGCCAAGAGAGAAGGCTTTGTCACAGTTCCTGATGTGACATGGGCAGATATTGGAGCCCTGGAGGATGTTCGGGAGGAGCTGACAATGGCAATATTGGTATGTCTTAGCCTTACTGTCAAATAGTTTTTTGCATTTCTCCCTATACAGGAAAGAAGATGGTTCTTGTTTGTTTTTTAATTATTATTTAAGGTCTAATGTGATGCTCATAAGTTCTAGCACGCTCCAAAGTAGAAATTTTACCTCTTCGTTTAAAATAGTCAGATTTCAATAATTTGCTTTTAAATTTGTTACAAGTCTGGTGCATGTGTTTCAAATTTCACTTCTTATATTCATGCTTTCAGTATGTTCACGATTCCTGAATCTTAAGTGTTCTTAAATTTTTGTACCAATATCCTTAGTTATGCAGTGCCACACAAATAATTGGAGACTACTTAGCTGAAAGGTTAGCAATCTCTGCCAGTCACAGCTATACTTAACACTAATACCTTAAGGTGAGCACTTAGGTAAATAAAATTTTTGCCTCTGAATAATGTACTTCTCCCATTTTGGGGTACTTATCAGTGCAAGATTGACTGTTTAGTCTTTTAGCCTATAAAGAATTTGAATAAATAACTTCTGTATTAGTTATTTTTCCTCCATCTGTAACTGAAATTAAAAGTTTTGTGTTAGCTTTTTGTCACAGTTAACTATGATTTTTTTTTTTTTTATAGGCACCTGTGCAAAACCCAGAGCAGTTTAAAGCCTTGGGCCTGACTACTCCAGCTGGTGTCTTGCTTGCAGGGCCTCCTGGATGTGGCAAAACACTGTTAGCTAAGGTAATACATTTGCCAAACATGCTTAAAAATACTGGAGAATCTTCTTGTAGGTGTTTTTGTGGGAATTACATGAGTTTGGATGATGCCAGAAGAATGGCTTTTGCACCACTTCTCATCAGATAGTTAAATTTGAAACTGCTAAAGCTATTTGATTTTCTTGCCATACATTTACATTTTTTTCTTGAGTTGAGAAGAAATTACTGCAAAACTTGAAGGAATGAAGCTGGTTAAGAAGGTAGCAAATGTGGGAAGTAACTCTGCTAGATAACCACTTCTATGGAGTATTTCACTGTAACTTAACTAGGTATTTGGAAGTAGCCTACACTCTTATATATATGTATTTTTATTTGTTATATTTACCTTACTGGAAATACTTTTGTTTTCCTTCTCCTTGAGCATTTCAGTTCTTATGACCTCCCCATATAAATGCAGGTAATCATGCAAGTTTCCAGGTTGTCACTCGTCTTTGCCTTCAAATATTCTTATGTAGTTGAATATGTCTTTTCAGCTAATAAGGGGGAGGAAGGTGGGGTGTGAGTCTGAAACATGGCCCCATTAAAGAGAGAGAACAGCTTGCTAATTAATTTCCCCACACCCCTTCCACACTTAATTGCATATAATTATACTTTGTAGTGTTTTCTATATTTTACAAACAGTTGATAACTGTGTTCTTCCCTTCAGTTTGTTTATCGCTCAATGGACAAAAACAGGAAAAATGTGTGGTTTATATATACCTCTGTCTTTCCCTTTTTTATAGGCCGTAGCAAATGAGTCTGGACTGAACTTCATATCTGTGAAAGGTCCTGAACTACTAAATATGGTATGCACTAATCATTGTGCTTTTGTAATTTATGGAATTCTTGTCCCAAGTGTGGGGGAAGCAAAATTCCTGATAATGACACAACTCACAGTAGTGTGGTGCAACTGAAGTTGCCTAATTTAACCTATGCTTAAAGTTCTTAGCAGAGAAGTTGTTCATGGGAAACGGAAAAAGCTATCTGGCTAGTTTTGAGTGTATTTCTTGGTTTAAATTATCTGGCAGATGGAGACTTCTTGACTGAAGTAGCATTTCTAAATGACTAACTATATGAGTCATTGCTTTTATGTAGATCAGGAAAAAATCAAATCTACAGTGAGGTCAATTGCTGATCAGTAACAGCAAAACAGCAAAATAAAATTTTCAGCTTTCAGGTTTGGAAATGTGTTTTGCTAGTCATTTTATTTTCTTGATGAAAGTCTGAAACCTTGGTAAGCAATGAGGTTTTTTGGTTAATCAAAGTGATTTTTATATATTTTAAATGTTAACAGATAAAAGTGCTGTAGACTGAGTTTTTGAAGCACTGGATTTAGAAGTGTTATAACTTCTGTCCATTTTAGACTTAAGAGAATGTGCTGAAATGAGCAAGATGGCTGCAGACCCCATCTCAGAAGACCTCAAAAATGTGGAAGCTAAAACTAAAATGCTGGGTTCAATAATTCTTTCCATAAATATTTTTTTACATGTACCTCAAGTACTGATAGGCAGGAATAAACCTCCTAAGTTAATGGGGAGCCCTGTCTCCTTGTGCAGTAATGTCTGGCTGTGAATCAGAGAGTGTGTTAAGTCAACAAATTGTATCAAAACATGTTTGTTTGGAAAAAATTAAGAATTTGCATTTACAAGTTAGCAACCTCTGCCCCTGCAATTCACCATTCAAAGTGAAATACTGGCTAACTTTTAAGTTCTGTACTGCTAGCCCCCTGTCTTTAGGCAATGTTTATACAAACTTCAGAAGTTCATCATGTTCACATTGCTCACTGGGTTTGTTTATAAACAGTTTAAAAACAGCAGGGTACTTAATGAAGACTGTATTTCTTGATTCTCGTTAACAGAATGATGGCAAGTTAGATTTATTCCACAGAAAGTAGGAATTCCTATTTAAATTTGAATGTACTGCAAACTGTCAGAAGTGAACTAGTGGCAAGAAGTTCCCTTCTTGCTCAGTAAGGAAATAAAGACTGCTATCAGAAGTAAACTGATTAGCAGGTTGCACTTCTCCCTTGCAAAGCACCTCAAATAGTGTTTAAAACTGTGATGACTTTTTTTTTTTTTTCCCAAGCCAAACATTCATCTTATATTGTGTCGCTGTGATTTGTAATTTGTTTTAGTATGTTGGAGAAAGTGAACGTGCTGTACGCCAGGTGTTCCAGCGTGCCAGGAATTCAGCCCCTTGTGTTATATTTTTTGATGAAGTTGATGCTTTATGCCCTCGAAGGTCTGACCGTGAAGTAAGTCTGTCTTAAAATATTTCCATAAATAAATTATCTCAGTTGCACCTTTTCTGGCATTGTATTAACAACAGAAGTACCTGGAAGGGTACTGTTTGATATCTCCCAAGAAAAAAATTCCAATAGCTTTCTCATATTTGAGGAAAAAATATGTCGGTCAAGTTTTATAAAGCTTAATACTATTTTAAGTATGTGCATATAGAAAAAATATCCAGAAAATGTGTGTATATCCTCTAGCTTGGCTGTCTAGAGCCATAGGAAAAGATGAAGGGGTCCTGCTTAATGCTGTGTTTAATTTAAGGCCAAATTGTGACACCTGTATGCAGCTGTAATGCTTGCATAAAGTATGTATGGATTAGAACAGCATGAACTAGGTTATGAAAATACTTGAGGCAAAAGATGGAAATTATTAGACCTCAGAGCTATTTTGCCCATGAAGTTTTCTCTGTCTTGATTTTTTACTTGTTGCTGCTGTTGTTTTGGAATAGGAGCTACTTACACCTGGGATGAAATTTGGGATTAAACTTCTGTTTTCGGGGCAGTTAATTTCTTGGCACAGCCTGCTAGTGTGTTGAAAGGAAAGCTGCTCTGTTTAAATATTTGGAGAAATACTGCGGTGTTTTTTTTTCCCAAAAGCTGAATATTGGGAGGTTTTGGGTGTCCTTGTTGAGATAGACAGGAGAATAATTAGTATAAATATTTATATGTATTTATTTAAGTAAGTCCATGATTTTTCAGTGGGAAAGAAAAGTTTTGCCAAATGTTAAAATGTGTGGTGGGTGTGTAGGTAGCATGAAATTGGGGTGGAAACAAGCTGAGAGTATGATAGTAGAAATCCAAAATAGAGATAAATTAAAAGTTCAAAAAAGAAACTTTTCTTTGAACAGTATTTCAGGGTGGTGAGCTAGTTGTTCTTTTGATTCTTTTACTTCGAAATAATCACAGTCTCATTGTTTTGTCAATTTTATTGATTATTTTCTCCATTTAAAGTCAGGAGCCAGTGTTCGAGTAGTTAACCAGTTACTCACAGAGATGGATGGTCTGGTGAATCGACAGCAAGTTTTCATTATGGCAGCCACAAACAGGCCAGGTAATGACCCCAAAATCAGAAGGAAGATAAATCAGACATCCTTAGTTCTCTTGTAATGAAATAATGTGTTCTTACTTATTTAATTATATAACTAACCTTGTTCTGTACTTAAAATTACAGTGTCTTAAAAAGTCCAAACCTTTTCAGATCAATGAATCTGTTCCACATTCTTGTGACAATATGAGATGAAGCAGCCTCTTAAAACATGCCCTAATTAGCACCTGGTAACATTGCTGTAAAGTGCTTTGAAAGACCTTTGAAATAATTGGATTTTGGATTATCTCCTTGGAACATAAAAGAACAAAAGATAACTAAAGCATAAATCATATATTTTTTTGCTGCTTGCATTGATTTTCTGTCACAGAATCACAGAATTGTCATAGCTGGGAGGACCTCTGAGATCAGAGTCCAACCATTAACACAAAAAAAATGAAAACGAAACAAAAAACCCAAAGCCCACAACCTCAGCCATTACAGCATTCCCTGAAGTGCCACATCTACAATTCTTGAATACATCCAAGAATGTTGACTCAACCACCTCTCCTGCTGCAACTTCGGGCCATTTCTTCTTGTCCTGTCATTATTTACTTGGGAGAAGGTGCCAACACCCACCTCCCTACAACCTCCCTTCAGGTAGTTGTAGAGGGCATTGAGGTCTCCCCTCAGCCTCCTCGTCTCCAGACTAAACATGCCTAATTCCTTCAGCCCCTCCTATGACTTGTTCTCTGGACCCTTCACCAGCTTGGTGGCTCTTCTCTGGACACGCTCCAGCACCAAAATGTCCTTCCTGTGGGGCCCAGCACTGAACACAATGCTCGAGGTGCAGCCTTGCCGATGCAGGGGCACAATCATTTCCCTACTCCTGCTGGCCACACTATTGCTGATGCTGTTGGCCTTCTTGGCCACCTGTCCAAAGCAACCTTACAGTGTTCTTCTATTTTTAATTTTATTTTTTATTTTTTATTTTTAGTTGTGGCATCTGTCTCATGTTAAATAATTTTTCTGTTTGCTTATATTTGTTTCCTGGGCTTCATATTCCAAACTTAGCTCCCTCAGCCTCGAGTTATTCTGCTGTTTCCTCATGTTTTGTCAAGCTTTGATATCGATAGCTGTCTGTGCTTTGTAACTCCTCCAGCATTTTCTTAGTTAATAAGCTAAATATTGACATTTGCTTTACAAACATCACGTATTTTACAACCAACTCTTTGACTTTTTTATGTTATGGAGAAGTCTTACAATACAAACTTGTCTCTTCCTGAATTTGAATTCCATGTAGATGCCTAGAGTTAGAAATAAAGGAGTTTGTTGTCAGTTTAGAAATGTATGCATGAAGATGTTGTACTTCCTTGGTTATGAGCATTTTTCCCAAATATTACAACTTAAATTAAATACAGTGTTACTAGTCTATCTTGGTAAAACCATACTGGTGTAGGTACCAGAATTTTGCATCGAGTGTTTATTTGGTGAAGTGCTGGTAACAAGAAGACACATTTAGTTGTTTGTATCTGTAAGTATTAAGTGATGACAAGATGTTGAATTCTGATGAGAGATGGCTTAGCATGGAGAAAAACCACAACAGTGTAGCTGCTTTGGATATCAATTGGAAGATGAGAAAGCTAAAACTTGGCAGACTACTTGGGTCCTGCAGGTTAAGGAAAATTTGGTATGAAATCACATAATACAGGCAACTATTAGGTGGTTTTGGGTTTTTTTCCAGCAGTCAAAAAATTTAAAATTTTTAAGGGAAATTTTCCTGTCTCTTGAATTCTTTGCATCATGACAGATTAGTCAAGCCTTCTACACAGTGCAGTGTCAGCAGCAGATTCTTTAATCTGCCTATGCTTACAGAAATTCTTTGAGTGGTAGGTATTCTTGGCATGAGTTTAGTAATTCTGACCTATCTAATCCAGTGTAGAAAAGAGAATGAGGTTATACAATGTAGCACGTCTATATATAAATAGAGTTGGATGTACCAAGAGTCTTAGTGCTGCTGTCATCAAGTTGCCTTAGGAAAGAGATCTCTCCCTAAATAAGTTATACTAGTGCAAGTATTTGGATCAAGCAGCCTTATTGCTTAGTGTTTCTCAGGGGCTTCCTGTATTATTGCTGGTGACAGTAAACTCATTGTTATCTCTGACTGGTAGCTTGGGGTGTGAATTACAACATTTTTTAAGTTTGGGAACATCCAGTTTGACTTCCTGCAGTGCCACCTTAGGTGTACCAGAAGTACACATGGGGTGGCTATTTTTAGGGCCAGTGTCTGTACATGGCACCTTTCTGAGCTAGTAACTCCTCTCCTAGAGGCAGCTGAGTATGTAATCTAGTAGCTTTACAAGGTCCAGTTTAGAGTAAATGTTGTTCAGATGTTAATTTCAAGATATGGATACTTGTGTGTCTACATTTGTCCTGTTTCTTAGCTTTTTGGGTTTCACATTTACACTGATTCAGTACTTGCTTATAGGTCTCATTTTCATGTGTATGTGAAATAGACATCTGTGCAGTTGTTAATCCATCCCTTTGTAAGCCTTTTACTAGATGCAGATTTACCATTATGTTGGTATAAAGTACCTTTGTAATGGTTTGGAGGTAGTTTGGTTTTGGGCTTCTTTTTTTTTTTAAGTTTTAAAAAGTCACTGTTGCCTTGTCTGGCTGCAGTGGTAGATGTACTGGTTTACTATATTGGAAGAGATAAAATGACAAAACTTTCTTGAGTAATGGTGGTTTAAGTAATACTTGAGAGAAGCTTGGAAATTTGTACGCCATGAACTCAGAGGTGTATTACTAGCCAGTGACACTGATGGCAGAAGTGGATTTGATGTAAAAATGCCAAATGTAAAGAAAATGCAAAGGCAGGGATAACAAATACAATAATTAGACGGAAGGTTATGAATTTATTTGCAAATTCTGTCAGTGGAAGTGAATTGTATCTTGATAAATTGTCTTTCTAGCATGATAAAATACCTTATTCTGAACGGCAAAGCCTGGCACATCCAACTTTTGCCAGAGGAGGCAGCTATCTGCAGGTTTGAATAGGATGGATCTTTTGCTTTAGAAGTTTATCAGTTGTGTGCATTAGCAACACTTTGGATAAGTTTAGACTACAAACTTTTGCTGCGATATCTGCATTTGTCATTGTGAATAAATATAGTTTCCAATTTATGCAGCTTTTATCAGAACAACTTTTACTGAAGCTGTGGTTAAACTGAGGCAATACCAGTTTATTCACCACTGATGGTGCTTAGGAAGGGGCAGTGTTCACCAGATTAAATTTTGCTAGTATGTTCTGGGTTCTTAATAGGAGCACACTGCAGGTAGAGAACAGTGAAGTCTATGCTAGTAAAGCACCATGGTGCCAAAATAAGAGTCTGGTCTCATAAAAATATTATTATAAAGAATAGCAGTAGTAGCAGTAGAGTTTTGGCATCAAGCTGCGTTCCTCACAGTTGTTCCGGTGTCATGTTAGCACCTGTGGCAACGTATTATATGAAATGGTGGTGGTTTATATTCCCCATGCCTGAAAACTGCCAAATTCTTTTTTCATAATAGCTTTTTAGGACTAGGAACATTCTAATTCCCATTTTGCCAAAAGTGCAGGCACAAGAAATTGGTTCCTTTGTTTCTCGTATACAACATGCAAGCAGTAATTCTTATTCTGGCAGTGCTGAAATAAGCCTTTGATCTGTCCTTGAAAGCAGGATATTTTAATGTTTTTTGCACTTACTTGTTCAGTGGCTTTGACAGTCCCATGCAGATCTTTTTTGACTACTGCTAAATTAGCAGGGATATAGTATTTCCAACTCAAGTGTCTTTCTTCCTAAATGCAGAACTAGTGTAAAACTTTTTCTGAGGAGGATTAAACTTTTAAAGAACTCAATGACATTTAAAAGAGAGAGCGGAAAAAAAGAGACAGAAATGTCATATCATGTTAGAAATTTTAATTATGTTCTTTTTCAACTTACTTCCTTCCCCAAATCTGAGACTAAATGCTATCAAACGCTGCTGTTAACTAAGGTCTGTAATTTCCCAGAATTTTCTAATTACCAGTTTGAGTTTCACTATTGGATCCTGCTGCTTTCTACTCTTTCCTGACTTCCCCAGGTTTTGAACATCTATAAACTCTTTACAGAAATGCTTAACAATCTATCAGCACCGCTGAGGAAACAGACAAGAGATCAGTGAAAAACCACAAACTGGTAGTGAGTTAAGCTTGATGTAAATGGTGATGTTGTCTTTGCTTTTATTCCTGGTCTTTCCAGCTTTTTCAAATTAAATCTTGCAAAATTCCCCTTTTACTATTATCTTAGAGCATGTTCCTAGTTTCAGTGAGTTCTTTAGCAAGTTTTTGTTAGTTTTCTAGAGCTATTCACCTAAACCACATTTTGAAACAGTAAAAAAATAATCTTCGCTCTTGCTGACTGTAGTTTCAGTTTTGGTTTGGGTTTTTTGTTTGTATTTGTACCTATTTATACATTTTGCTGAATTAAAGGCAAGATCTAAGAAAAGCACCTACTCTGTGAGGCATGGAACAGTTTATTTTGTGATAGGTCTAATTCACACAACTGGTATTTCTGCATTTCAGCAGCCTGTGTATCTTTTAGAGTAACTTCAGTGGAGTTCATTTGTTGTGTAGAAGGAAAGTTGTTAACTGCAGTGTTCATCTATAGTCTCAGAAAACATTTTAGAACTTCTGAGTCTACATTCCAGAACATCTTTAATGTGAGGACCTAGACCCTGTATACTTAAAAATAATTTCAAAAACTGTAGTGAGTTTATGAGAAGTTTAGACTCAGTAGAATGGTTATTGTTGCTGGTGTGCATGGAACTTTTTTAATCGTGGTTGGCTTTTGTACCATTGAGATAAGACATGAATAATCAACTCAAAATGAGTGTGAGACTAATAGATTTTTTTATAGGACAATAGGACATCACATTATAGGGATTCATGCAGAGATCCTTTCAGTAGAATTTAATGAAGAGGATAAAATTTTGCAGTAGTTTCGAGACCAGTGTAGCAAACTGAAATTTTACATAATTCTCTTGGGGCTAGTGCCTGTTTTAACCTTTAAAAACAAAGTGAGGATTGGATGTACTCTGAATGACCCATTATGTAATTTTTCCAAATTGTTTGGAAAATGGTACTACTGTCTTCTAAGAACATAATACATCAGAACTGACTACATCAGAAAACCAAGACAAAAAATTATTAACTAGATATTTCTCTCAATAAAAGTATAGTCTCTCTGTGAGACAACTGCTTGGAAAAGAAGTACAGTGTGTTATCATGTTTCCACATTCCACTTTCAAACTTGAGAGATAACAATAGGCTTTGAAAGAGGTATCTATAATAACTACCTTAATTTCATTAAAATGTTAAATGTGTCTAAAATTAGTTTACTCTTTCTGTTAGGTAAGTTTTGAGATAATAGATATGGAGAGAACATAATGATTTCTCAGGATGGAATACTCTGAAATTTCTAGAAGAGAAATATTAGTCAGATCTTTAAACAGATAAGAAATGCATCTAATAAGTGAGTTTCACCAATAAGTAAATACTAATTTTCTGTGTTTCTTGACTTGAGCTACCAAGAACTTGAGGCCCAGGTCTGAATCAGCAGAGTGAAGTGAACTGACTCGTAAGGAGACAAGGGGTGTGGATCTGTGTTAAGCTTTGATATTCATAGAATCATAGAATCGTAGGGGTTGGGAGGGACCTCGAAAGATCATCTAGTCCAGCCTCCCTGCCAGAGCAGGGTCACCCAGAGCACATCACACAGGAACGTGTCCAGGTGGGTTTTGAATGTGTCCAGTGAAGGAGACTCCACAACCTCTCTGGGCAGCCTGTTCCAGTGCTCTGTCACTCTCACAGTAAAAAAATTTTGTTGGCTATTCACCTTGAACCTCCTATGCTCCAATTTGCACCCATTTGTCTTCTAATTGTAAGCCATCATTACTACAGCTTATTGAGTTAGTGTGAGTTGTGGTAACTCTGAATGTGGGCACTGTAGTAATTTATGTCAGAAATTGAGGTGTGCATTTTGAGACCATATTGATAACTTTGTGTAATTTGGCAGATAACATGGCAAGTGCCATATTCTCAGCATACAAAATGGATACAGTATTTTGCATATCAAGTTTAAGATTTTTAAAGAGCTTTTGAAACTTCAGGATAGGGAAGTTACCGAGTGCATGGTGCTGTAATGCAATCCCTATTGAGAGTATGTTTTGATGTTTGGTAAGTGAACCTTGTCATCTTGCCTTAATAACGTGGCAAATCTGTTGACAGAGATACAAAAACAGGAAAGTGCTCTTGTGCCAGAAGCAAGGGAGAGAGAATCATAAAGCAGATGTATAAGAAGGATTTTTTTACCTGCACAGGGACGCAGTTTAACCTGTGTTTCATCTGGTCTAGATTAAAATAATACATCAAGTTCTTCCTTTTTTTCCCCACACCATTCTCATCACATTGTCAGTAGCATAGTCCTGCCTCTAGCCACAACAGCTGTATCTTAGGGGAAAAAAAATTGCTTTTGTCCAAGGAAAAGATAGTGGAGCAATTTTTAATGTATGCATCTCATTCTAGTTTTTGTCCTTTAAGCATAGGTGAGAGAGTAACTTGAACAAAACTAGGCACATTTTTAAAAAGTGAATCGGGAGCACATTGTGGTAGGATGAGGTGGTTGGGAGTCTCGAGTTAAGCAAGCTATTTTCATTTGCAAGAAAGGGCTACCTCTGCTTTCATGCTACTGTTTTGGGATTTGGGTGGTAGTTTTTTTTGTGTTTTGGGGTTTTTTTGCTTGCTTGTTTTATAGAGTTTTTTTTAATGTTTTGATTTTGTTTTCTTTTAAGCATGTGCACAGTAAGAATTAACAGTTTACCTTTCTGCAGTTCTTCACCTTTAATATAAGTGAAGGCATCTAGTTTGTCTGTTAGCTACATTTTATCAACAGGGATATAATGATTGTAAGAGTGTTGACAGCTTCATTTGGAGTCCTTGGTAGTTTCCAGCTAAGAATTACGTGTAACTTTGAACTGTTACTGTTGGATAACATTCTTGCAATAGCTACTTAACATGTCTGTCTAACTTTCAGACTTTTAAAAACTCTGTTATTTTAAAGGTACAGTTTTCTTTATATCTTCTGTGGGTGCTTTTATGATTTTACTGTTCACATTACCATACTGTGTAGAATATAATAGAATCATTTATGTTGGAAAAAAAACCTTTAAGATTGTTTAAAAAGTCCAGCCATTTAACCTGACACCGCCAAGTCCACCACTAAACCATCCCTAAGTGCCAGATCTACCTGTTTTTTAAATACCTCCAGGAATGGTGACTCAGAATTACATAGTAAAATAAAGCAAGACTTTAATCTTTTGGGTAGATGGAGAAATGGGGCATCAAGAAGCATTTAGAAACATCATCCAGGCAGTTTGTGCTGAAATACGGAATTGGGTCTTTCTCAGGTTATGTGCCCTGTCTGTATCTTGTGTTACACCAATAATCCTTAATATTTATACCTTTGAGGAAGTTCAGTATTGAAGCCTGTGGTGCTAAATGGCTGCTAGACATTTCTACTACCTTTAAGCTTTGAACAGGTTTCTAGAAACATTTGTGATGATTTTTGGTTTCTTCTCCACACATCATAAATTTGGAGTCTGTAGTTCTTCCTGGGAAACAAATTCTGTATTTTGCAGCTCTATTTTATGTTTTCATGTGCTTCCTATCTTACCACTCAGAAGATTAATATGTAGTAGAAACACGAATGACCAGTAAAGTTAAACTTTCCTATGGGTATTTATGACTGGCCCTGTGTACTTAATTTATCACTGTGCCTTCCAAGCAGATTGCAACAGTTCATACGGGTAGAATTCCTTTCAATAGCACGAACCAGAAGCATTTTTTTCCCTTCTTGTGAGTTAATGTGGAATTTCTCACTTGACTATGCTAGATAAGACAGTAAAAATGTTCTAGCACTGTATTGCCAAAGGCAGAGTTGTCTTCATTTGTGAAGATAATGAAACTCTTATTTATGAGCCATCTTTGAGCAGAAGTATCTTAACTGTACCAGGTAACAGAGATTCCTACTTGGCAGAGATGAAACTATTTCAATCAGCTATTTTAATGCTCAGAGCTTCACATTATGGCACAAATGCTTCTTTGAATCTCAGTGCAAGTATGCATTTATTCCTTCTTGTGTGTATACTTTAAGGTTTTATCTCATTTATGGATAATTTTTTCTTTTTTTCCTCTTCCTAAGATATAATTGACCCAGCTATCCTGCGTCCTGGAAGACTGGATAAGACACTCTATGTGGGTTTGCCACCACCCGAAGATCGACTTGCTATTCTAAAGACCATCACCAAAGTGAGTATTTGGAAAAAAATCTTAATCTTGAAGCCTGGTGGAGTGATTTAAGGCAAATTAAATTTTACAGAGAGTTGCAGACTCATGTTTCATTAAGCACTTTCAGGTATTACATGAAGTCATAAAAATAAACCAGCAGCCAGGTTTGCTGTTAAATTTCTTCTGCGACTGCAAGGGGTTGATAAATCTTGAGTAAAGCAAACCTGTTAAGCATAGAAGTTGCTGCATTTATAGTCACAGTTTGAACAGATGTAATTAAAAGATTGTTATCTGTGTGAGTAATGGGCCTATGAATGTTTTGTAAGACTTTTGGGAAGAGTTCCACACATTCATCCAAATGTTTCACAAGGTCCAGCTGTATTTGCTCAACAGTAATTGTGACACTTAATTACCTTTAGGATTAAAAGAAGCTAGTGATGATACAGGTTGTTGGTCAAAGTAAAATGGGAAATACCTGCCTTCGTGGGTTTGTCCTCCTTGCGGTCAATGGCACATTCTGCCACTTCAGAGATTTGGATTATAGAATTCCATCTGAGTATTTCTCTAAGTACAGCACAGTAGTAATAAAGATCTTAAAGAACTTGCAAAGCATTATGAATCACTCTGAGCTTTCCTGTTCTTTCCAGTAGATGAGCATTGCTTGTTAAGACCAAGTATCCTGTCAGATTTTTTTATTTTGAGCTGCAAAGGAGACCAAGTATTTACTACAGTGAAAAGATATCACTGTATTATGAAGTGTGACAAAAAAATCAATTAGCAAATTTGTAAAAAATATAGCTAAGACTTGCATAAGCATTCAATTTGTGGTATAGGCAATAATTAATCCCATAGAATTAAAAAACTGATAACTCTTTCTAGAACGTTCTTCCATGCCAAAAATAGTTGTTCAAAAGTCAGACTCTTATTACAAATTCAGGTTGCTAAGACTTCCCTTCATTTGTTCTATGCAATTATTTCATGGAAGGAAATACTAAGTATGCCTCCATTTGCTCATAGCAGTAGATCCATTTATTGTTTTATAAAAATATTTCAGTTAAAACTTTTTACAACCCTGTTTTTAAAAATGGTTGCCTTTTAAAAGAAGATCATTTGAGTCTGACATCCATGAATCATTTTTCAAGCATATTATAAGGAATTATGTTTTTTATTTTACCATAATATGTTTAAAGATAACTGGAAGTGTCCTTCAAATATTGGGCTTGTATGATTGTTCTGACTTCATACCTTGTTCTTCTGGAAGAAGTGGGTAGTAAGAGTCAGTCAATAGACTGTCCAAACAGAGCAGAAGGATTCTTGCACAGAGTTTACATCTGCTCTGTTTTTTAATATACTGTTGTTGAGCCTGCTCTCCTTAATTTTTGCAGGAGAATCTTTGGAGGTTTTTGTCTCAAGCATTCTAACTGTAATCAGTAGCGTAGGAAAACCGTGCAGCAAAGCTTCGTGAGAGGTTCCATGGGAAGGGAAGGTGATATTCAACAAAACTGATTTCTCTCACTCTCTCACAGATTTCACTTGTTCCCTCTCAAAGCCACATTTCGTCTCCAAGATGCATGAATTCAAGTGGTAGGGCAAGGGTCACTTGTGTGCAACACCGAGAATAAGGAACTCAGTGTTGAGTCCTCAGTTCATCTCTTGGTTTCCTCTTGACTGGTGATGACAAACTGGTTGTTACAGAGAATTGTTTTCTAGATGCCCTTTAAGATTCAAACAGTTCAGAATTGTGCTTACTTCAGCTGCTGTAAATCTTGGTTGCCAAAAAGTGTCTTTGCTCTCTACTTCTGAGAATCTTTGAGGCTACAGTCCAACTTCCTGTTAGGATAACACAAAGAAGAGTGGCACATGTGATGTGGTAACTGTGTCATTATCCTGCTATCAGAGCATATTTGTCTTCTGCTGACAAACCATCTTCGCCTTATCTGATTATGGGCCTTCTTGTGATACAAGCAATAAATGGCATAGTCTTGACTAGCTTGGTTCCTGTGAATATTGGTTATCAGGGCATGTTATTTTTGGAATGTCAAATACTTCCACCCATACTTATTTCATACTAATCTTAATATTTTGGTTACAAATCTTTGTAGTAAATGAGGCATTAAGTCTTTAGTGGATTCTTTTTCTTAGTTCTTAATTAAAAGGCCAGTAGAAATGAGATACAAACACTCTCTGAAATTAGTTTTTTCCTTGTGTGTTTCTGTGTTCATTCCATGCTACTTCTGTAGGCACTGGTGTTCTCATAAAGCTAGGCAAAGATTTGTATTTCTATTGTTAAGAACAAGAAATAGGTTGTTATATTCTTAAAAAATTTATTGGAGTTATCTGCAAGAATAACAGGTTAAATTAATTTAAATACCTTATTTTTATTAGACTTCATCCATACATTCTAGATAAGGAAATTTGAAAGATCTGTGTATAGGAACACTTGCTTAAATATGGGCTAGATATAACAAAATGTTTGGTGCAGATGTAAGCAGCTTGTGTATGATGGTAAGCATCCTCAGATATCCCCGAGGAATACATGCACAGGACATGGAAACTGCAAATCGTTGCTGATGGGAAAAATGGATGCTCACAAAGGCAGCATGGGGAGTAGAAATGGGAGTTATGGGGAGGACAACAGACAGCCCAGACATAGGTTGAAGCCTTGTTGTGAAAGTTTTCTTTCAGTTAACTTGCACCAATTGGTCATTTTCAAATTGCATATGTATTATGCAAGAGAAGCATGTCTTCACATAATTAATACATTCCTGCAAGTGGTAGCAAGCTTTTCTGGTGCACATACTGCTCAGCTTGTCTCCAGGGCAGGCAGATCACCACACTCAAAAAATGCCCGAAATATGTTGCTACTCAAAGCAATAGGTAAAAACATTTCTTTTTAGCAGAGAAGGTGTCTCTCTGGTTTGCAGTCTTGTACAGCAACTACTTAAGTATCCCATATGAAATTGTATGAGGGTTTCTTGTTTCCAGGTTGAAGTTTCTCCTTTCCAGATGTTTCAAAATCAGGCTGTTACTTTGTTTTTTTTGGCTGATTTGGGTTTTTTTTCCCTTTCTAACTGATATTCTACCAAAGATTTATTCAAGATTGCTCCCTTACTCTGCCTAGTCCTTCATTATTCTATGGTCTGTTAAGTATTCAAAGGTTTTAACTTGCCAGTTACTACACTTTTTTTCCCTTGAAGGCATTCTTGATATGTGGTGTATTATTTCACCTGAAGAAGTCAGAAAATAATTATAATAATTTGTGCATTTCTGTCAAATGAGTTTGTGGCAGAACTATATCAATTGTATCAAGAAGTGTCCTTTCATGTCTAAACTTGGGTATAGTTGGATTCTATAGACATCTAGAAATTCTGTACTACCATGATACTACTTTACTGTTGTCTAAGGATAGTAGGGAGATCTCCATGCTAACAGTTTTGAAAAATTTGTTGGCTAGTTTCAAATGTAATTTATAATGTTGTTCAATATTTTTTGCTGTTGGAGATGCAAAAATAGTAACAAAAGAAAACAGTTTTGGGATCTTTGTGGAGGAAGCAGTAAAAATAAGGAAGAGTAATATCAAAAAACCTATTAGAATATCTACAGTGTATGTAAACTTTTATGAAAAATACAATGGAAAACTTCTAAGTTTGAAAATACGTGTCTAGAACTTGAGATACACAAATAATTCTGTCTAAAAGGTGATAAGACTAAGTCTACATGCTTATTGCTTAGCTGTTTCATTTCAACACATACAACTAGAGGAAGTTTTCAGCTAATGCTGTTGATGTAACCAGCTGCTTAGGGCATGTGCACATACCGCATGTGTCAGTGTTACTTTGCCTTGTGACAGGCTGGCCATCAGTTTTTTAGAGAAAACTTAATCTGTTGGTGAATATTTAGCATTACTTATTTCATAATTTATTTTTTTTTAAGGTTGGTTGTCCTTGTTGGTTTGAGATTAAAAACACTAATATTTGTGGGTATTTCAGAGAATCTGTCAGATTCTTGTATGATTCCTGATTGATGAAAATCACTTTGGGGATGGCATGTGTAAAAAAGAATGTTTTCTTATCTTCCTTTTCTTACTATCTCCAATCCTTCAGGGTGGCACACGGCCTCCACTAGATACTGATGTAAGCCTTGAAGAAATTGCTTACAGTCAACATTGTGATTGTTATACGTGAGTAGCTTCTAGTTTTGGCTTTAATATTTAATCTGCAGTGGTAACAGTCTTCTGATGCATGATAATGTGTTTTTATGTTGTTATTATTAAGATCTCTTAACTTTCAGGGTTTATAAGCATTTTCCCTCAAGCTATTTTTCTTGTCTTCACACTTGTGCTTTTTTCTAAGGAGTTGGTAGGAATATATGAATGCTGAAGTATTTTTCATCTGGAATAGTCCTCTTTGTGTTGTAAATACAGATCAGTAGAGGCTTCTTGGTTTTGCTTGGTTTTTATTTTATAATTCTTGCATAATCAGAGGATAAAAAGAGCCCTCCTTAAGTTGTAGACACATGTACAATGATGATGAAAACAAGTTGGTGAAACAAACCTAACCAACTTGTTCTGTCACACAGTTGAAAGCAATGGGTGTTTGACAAAGTAATGAGGCCCTATTTCAAGTTATGCTTTGGAAATACCAAGGTGTGGTTTTTAGGAAAGCTTGATAGCCGTATCTATCAGACTAATTTGCAGTTGTGTTCTACAAAACAGCTGTGCTTTTATCTATTAACTTATTTATTAATAGTTAATGATTTTCTGGAATTCACACACAAAAAAGTTTATGACATGATGCTTGTCACAGTATTGCTTTTGAGCCTTAGAAATGGAGGCTGTCACCAGTAATGGTTTTTAGTTTGGAGTACTTTTCTTTCTCTGCCCCTTTCACTTACTTTTTGTTTTTGTCTGTAGTCTGGATTTTGTTTGTAGTTTGGGTTGAGGTTTTGTTTGTGGGGTGTGTGTTTGTGGTTTGGTTTTTGGGTGGGGTTTTTGTTGTTTATTTTGTTTTTTAAATAGAGCAATATTCTGAATACCTCCAAGTGAAGCATGGGGAGTTAATTGAGAAAATTTTCTCTGGTTCAATGACTTGAAGCAGTTTGAAGGCTTGTGCAAAGTTCAACTGGAAACTGGAATTAAATATTTAGGAAGACTGATGTGACCATGCTTTGTGGATACTATTATTCTAAGAGCATGTTAACTGTTGATGCATCTTTGAGCAAAGCAACTCCTTTTTGTAATAATGGTTGATTCCATTTGAATCTTTCATAAGACTGATACAAAAAAAAAGATTTATCATGCTCCTATCTGAGGGGCATAATATAAAAATCCTTTTGTGTTTTTAAGGATTATGGGTGGAGTTTTTTTCTTCTTCCCCTGCTTCTCATTTATTTGATCTTAATCTGTCCCTAAAATCTGGAGGATGTCACTCCATAATGAAGGCTGCAGGACTGACTTGGACCTCTTTCCAAATCCTCTTAAGATGAATCAGGCTTTTACCATCATTTAGAGTGTCTTGTCTTTCTATATGCCATCAGCAGAAGAGAAATTAATCCTAAAGTTATTTATTCTGTCTGTGTCTGTAGAGGGGCAGACCTTTCTGCTCTAGTGCGTGAAGCTTCACTTTGTGCCCTGAGACAGGAAATGGCCCTGCAGAAAGGCAAGAAAGGTAAGAAATCTTTACAAAAATCTTAACTGAGCAGAGAGAAGGAAAATGGAATAAAAAGTATTTTAAGGTAGTTAAAGACAAACATAAAGGCAAGCATGATTGATGACTTCTGAGCCAAACAAAAATGAAGTCAGATTTGTTTTAAGAACACATAAGCATCTCTGAAGTAGGCATAGGGAAGAGTACAGGAAAAAATATTTGTGCTGGTGATTCAGCATAAACTTTTTTTCCAGAAGAACTGAACCTTGCAGCCTTTAAGAAAAGTTTGTTAAATGGTAGCATAAACTGACAGTTTATATACTAGACTGAATACATCTTTGCCAAATTTCCACATCACTGTCAAATATTATACTGACTTATCTGCAGATTTTAGTACAGTAATAAGTGTGCACATACTGATCACATACCTTTGGTGCACAATTTTGTAAGCAAATACACACATCTTGTAGTAATTCCCCTTGGAGAATGTGAGTGTCATTTTTATCTTAGGTGTTTGGCTTATCAGTGCCTCTTGCTAGGACACTAATAGGGAGTTATCAATAATTTCAAGTACAACATCTGTCCTTCCCATATATCTCTGCACTTTTGTTTTAAGAGTTATCTTCCTTTTTTAAAAACTTTTTTTTTGTGCAGATATGAAAATTTATTTGGAAATTGACACACTTTTACATAAAATGTGTGTGTCTAAATTTTTTTCCAGAGATTTTGTTTGTTATTTTACCCTTAAGTCAAAATGCAAAGCTAAGATGGAATGGACTATGTCCTTGGAAAACATAAGGCTTTTATTATGCCTGTGATTTCTAAGAATCATAGTGGAATTTTAATGGCTTTGAATCATTCTTTTTGATCTAGTACATCAGTCTCATCTGTTTTTTTAACAACAGTAGATTAACAGAGCGGACTATTTCTATTTCTTGTTTTAAGGGAACCAGCACATTCAATTGGGGGGGGGGAAGAAACAAAGTATAAAAATCTTCACTGTTGTATTACTTGGTTGTTATCCATTTTGCCTGGTGTAGATGAAAAAATCTCTTGATTTGAAATGGCAATTTCTGAGTTTATCCTGGTCGTTTTTATAATTATCCATAATATAGCAGGGTTCATTCTGGATGTTCATCATTTGAATTCAGCCTTAACATTTAGTATTGCAGTCCCAGTACTTCCTGTATGGATGTGTTGGCAGCTAGCAAATCCCTAACACATGGATAGCTTGATGTGCATGCTTGTAGCAGCTACTTTTTTGGGATGTCCTGGGGTTTGGATTTCCAAGATGTCAGTAGTAGTAGTGTAGTAGTTTCTGATTTGAGACCACCTCCATTCGTATCTTCAAAAGAGTAGCATGTGTACAGACTGGAGAATTTCCTCCTTTGATGTTACCACAGGACACACAAAACTGGCTTGCTCCTACACTCTGTATGTGACTGTAGATGGGTGCTGTTTCCTGTCACCACTCAGTGCTTTGGAATTAACTGGCTGAGATGAGGGCTGCTCCTTTCTATTAGGTGAAAGCTCTGATGCACCTTGTGTTATACCTGGTATTTTCACTCTAGAATAAATGTAGGGGTGTGGTTATTTTAACCCTCAACAGTGGTTTGCTTAAAAGGACCTTTTCTGTAGTGAAATGGAAATGTGGGGGTTGTATTTTTTGTAATAATCCATAAATTTGGTTTGAAACTTGAACAGTCCTAGGAGAAGATGGTCATGTTAGTCACTGTGGTCTGGGAACTACAAGATATTTCAGTTTGTCTGGGGGAAGAGGCAAGGGGGAATCCTAAAAAATATTGGGTGGATTTTCAGTTGTATGAGGTCCTTCTGGAGTTAATCATTGGCCCAGCATTTGACTGCCCAGCGGAATTAAATTTGATTTGCAAGGTTGAAGGGTGCCACTTCTGGCACCCTTTTCCAAGCCACTGATGAAGATGTGGTATAAAACTTATCTCAGTACCAATACCAGCGTAGAACCCTACTGCTGCCCATTTCCTATCCTGAAAAGTGACCATTAAGCCTTTAATCAGATTTCAGTCCTCCAAAGGGTCTCTTCTACAATTCTTTGGAGTTTACCAGTAACAACCCTGGTGGTTGTCACAATAGGTTACAAGATTCAGCTAGCAGTGAAAAACTGAAACTTCTAATAGAAAGGTTCCTTCAGAACCTTTGGGTGAACACCATCTCATCCTAGTGTCTTACTGTTAAACTAAAATAGGTCAGTTAGGAGGTTAATACTTTCTGTATATTTATTTCAAATAGATCTAGTTACAAAGAATGTGTAGGGTGTAAGAATCTCTTCATGCTCTCAGCTGCAAATAAAAATGCAGGTAATTCATTGACCTTCTAAGCTGTGACCTTTATTCCTAAGTCTCCCTTGTTCGTTCGTTGTTTTTTTCAAAGATAGCCATGACCCCACATCACCTGCATAATCTGTAAAGCTTATCAAGCAAAGAGTCTATGAGACTTCTTGTTACAGCAGATAAGACTGAGTGTGGCTTAACAAGAAAGTTTTGTATCTTTGTGGTTGAATTTGAAAAACCAAAATCCAGTGCTTGCTTAATACTTTCAAATTAAGAGGAGAGGGAACCAGCTTATCCTTGGTGTTTTAAGTACTTTTAAATATGGTACATGTTGATATACTTAATTTAATTTTTCATTATAAGTATAAATTATTTTAGATAAATTCATACCTTCTTACTTGGACTAAATCAGTTTCTCATCAGAAATCAAGGCAAACTTTTAATGCACGTAGCCAAGGTATAGATTACTTACAGCAAAATTCTCCAGAGTAACAAACCTTGAGATTGCTTTTATAATGCAATAAGCATGAAGTGGACTAACTTACTTCAATGAGAGCCAAACTACTTTACATAGCAGTCAGTAAAGGTATGCTTATACCTGGCCATAGCTAATGTTGTTATATTAGTATATAAAGTAGTATAAAAAGTCACCTTGACTTTTTCTGGTAACCATGTCCTTAATGGTACTGACATTCCTAGCTGATTAATGCTGCTTTCTCCTTTTTTGTGTCCTTGCTCCTTCCCTACAGTTGAGACTGTGTATTGTTTCATAATTTGATTTAAAATTTACAAGCTTAAAAACAAAACTGAAAGCAACATGAAATTCTCATAGATTCATGGTATTATTTTATGGAGTTGTGATTACTCCATCTTAAAGTAATTTGGCTTTTCTGAAAGACCCAAAGTGTTTCCTTAGGGAAATAAGTTAAAATGCTGATATTTTAAATTTACATATTTATTTATACTGGTATAACTTAGTATGGTAATAGGAATCTTAACTAGGAGCTTCAGCGACCTGAGGTGAAAAAGAACAGCAGGGTTTAAGTTTAGTTGAACCTTCATTTTTTAAAGCAAGTAGTAATTTTTAGACTACTTGCTCTTTTTTATAACTTAAACAAATTATCATCTTTAGTGCCTTCCATCTGCTATGTAGTCTTTTGCTGTATAAGCAGAAAATTTTTAAGCTGTGACATCAAATATATTAATGAGGAATCAGTTTTTCTTGTCAGCACATCCCATCTCACATTACAAAGATGTATGCAAAGGCAGTGGCAGTACATATCTATGGGAGCAAAAGGTGTCTTAAAATCCATTAAAATCCACTAAATTGACTCTTATTATAGGGGCACAAAAAGTATGTCTTACACGATACCTGTTAGTATTGCAATGATTCTGTATAGTAGTGGTATCTTGGGATTAAGTGTAGATTAAACAAGGCACTTGCTTGTGAGAGCAGAGGAATCCAGGTTGTGTTTGAGGTATGCTTATGTTTAAGCATACTAAAAAAAAAAACTGTTCAAAAAGGTTATGTTTAGAAATAACTACTGGCTGCACTAAGGTCAGAAAGGAAATTTGCATAAACTTAAACCACATCAAGTGGCAAAAGTGAAAGCTTTTCTGGGTAATGCCACTCAAGACAATGGTATTAAGTCAATTACTTAGGAATTGAGCATCCTGTAGTAGAATTAGAATGATAAAGTGTTTTCTAGGTACTTACTAAACAGGTTGGGAAGCTTAATATTAAATACAGTTATAAAATAAAGGCCAGAACTGGAAGCACCAGGATTTGAGGCATTCACTTCCTCAAGGATTAAGGGGCTTGAATTCTAACTGGACTTCATGTAAGCTGCAGTTAACTAGGCATCTTTGAGAATGAAATTCATCATCTGCAAATGGAAACATTAGGTATCAAGTTTCTGGAAAAAAAAAAAGTATTCTTTGGCTTAAGGTGCAAGGGATAGAGAGATTAAGATCTTGCAAAAGACCATAGACAGGAGGCTACATTAGTAGTTCAGGTGAATTAATCTCATCCAGCTGACTAGCACATGGTTAGATTTCATGAATGCTGGCTTGAAATATATGCAACACTCTCTTGATTGTCACTTGCCTGTAATTTTTATAATTTAGTATGCTTTATTCTTTAAGGAGAAATCAAGATTTCACATAAACACTTTGAAGAAGCTTTTAGGAAAGTGAAATCTTCAGTATCCAAGAAGGTAAGATAAACTTCAAGTATGTAAGTAATTTCTTCCCTTGAAAGCATACTTTTTATGCTGGAAACTGGTGGGAGTAGTTAAGGTTGCAGTATACCTACCTGTATTTCAGACTGGTAGTACCTGTTTCTGCATTTATAAAAAAATGATGTTTTTCTAAATTCAGAAATTCAAATCCACCTTTTCAGTTACAGATGACACATGTAGATGCCTCTTGCAGTATGACATCTTGGAGTTCACTGACTTTCCTAGATGAGTTATTGACCTGGCCCCAGCTTCTTATGCTTGTGAAATTTTCTGTTAAAAGTCAAGGCCTTTAAGAGTACACCACACCTCCCCACCCCTAGGTGGATGCTCAATCATTTCTGCTAATGTGAAAAAGATTCATTTTGAGATAGAATATAAAACACAGTCATCTTAGTTATTTCTTATCAGTCTTCTTATTTGCATTTGTCAAAGAATTTTATTTTAAAGGTTTCCTTATGAGCTGTTTTTTTTTAGTGACTGAAAGGAAAGCTGTTCAAG